GTAAAATATACGACAGGTCTGGACCACTCGTGAATTTTTTTTCGTATCTGAAAAAAATCTTAGAATACGAAAACATTGGTGAAAGCCACAAATTCTCCTAAATCACTCGTACGCACAACTTAAGAACAAATCTGTACGTACCAACGGTTCTTGCATGAGGCCCATTGGCTCAAGGGCAAGTTTTCTCCATGGGAGGGTGGTCATTTAGCATATGAAAGAAGGCCAGAATTCTCTCAGATATTGATTGCTGCAATTGGATTTTCAATATGTCCTGTGGTTCAACAATCATCAACACATAAAGTTGCAACAACAACTGCGAACATTGCCTGTTATTGAGTTTAATGTACTGTCCTTGGAAAAATCTGACTTTGTTCTAATATGGCAGCTTTCAAGATGGCAGCCATGTTCTGGACACAGCCTAAAACATAGGCTGCCACCCTCAACTATTACTTACTGTGATATTCAGATAATTTATGTTACCTTTTCTTTTATGTCCTGGGTCTTTTGACTCATTCTGTATTAAGAAAAAACTGCAACTATTTTACCTCTAATGGCAATAAAAACTGAATAATCCTTAGAGATTAATCAATATTAATTAGTTTTATTGGTAATTATATACAAATGTACAAAGTGTAAAAAAAACATCTGTGCAAATGCAGTTATAAGTATAACGTAAAAGTGTTAAAGGTTCATAAATCAAAGTAATATTTGAAGAATAAAATATGCTAAAATTTAGCCTGATCCTTTGTTTTTTTCATTTATTCACTTAAATCAAAGTGATTACTACAAAATCAGTTTATTAATCTGAGAAACTATTTTACAGACATCGTTCTGACTTTTTCTTTTCCTTTTCAAATCAATGTGTTGATGAAGTTGGTTTTAGATAAATGTGGCCAATTTTATTTTAATTATTGACTCCTAATGCAAATGCTAAAAACTATTTGGTTTTTGATCAAGAACAAAAAAAAAAATGAAAAAAAAAACAACCATCCTCTAAATAACATCTGTGTTTGTTCATATCTATACATGTATTAAAACTTTTGTTGAACATGAGAATGAACGGTCCAGCTGTGTTATCACCCCACCACCACACAACTAGCGGTGTATGAACCCTTGTACAGCTTAATTTACATCAGCTGATTGCTGGGGCTGTGATTTCTTGAAACAGAACTTTAGCTCCTGGTGTAAAAATTAAAAAGTTGTTGAGGATTGCTAGTTCGGCTGATTCTTTAAAAAGTTGTTGAGGATTGCTAGTTCGGCTGCTTCTTTGTCTTTTTCTTGTGTTTGTTTTAGATTTTTAATTAAAGAAGCATCAATAAAGTAATTTTAAAACTGTTTATTGGAAAACTGAAGTAATGCATTCTGGGTACATGACGGATTTGATTTGTGACGGGAAACGAAAGCACGGAGAACAGGAAACTCGTATCTTCCCTTCAAAATAAGAGCTTGGATTTTAGTTTTCCATTGTTTCCATTGGATTCCAGTTCACTTGAAACTCATCAGACTGAAGAAGTCTCTTGGATAAGAGATGAAACATTTCACTAAAAAAAAAACCCATCCAGAGGACCTACCGTATTTTTCGGACTATAAGCCGCGACTTTTTTCCTGAACTTTGAACCATGAGGCTTATACTCCGGTGCGGCTTATACGTGGATTTTTCTTCAGCCACCAGGGGGCTCTTATGCTCCATTTGCTTCAACCACTCGCTTCAAAAAAAGAAAGGAAAAAAACAGAAGAAAAAAGTGATCCTTCCAGAGCCGACTGTTGTACCAGGAAGCAGCGATTTAAAGATAGTCAATGGCCAAAAACTCATAAAAGGGGATAAAACAGACATTTTTCAC